ACTGGGTCCTCTGGTGTCAACTGACAAATGTCCCTTCCTTTCCTCTCCTGAGACCCAGACCCAGATGGCATATTTATTCAGAGACTTGGGTTGGACTTCAGGACACCACTGTTCATCTGTGTGTTCAGGAAGGTGTTCTCCCATGTCATCCTGAAAGACCATACTCTCATGACACCTGATCCAAGCCACCTCCTGTCTCCTCCTCACTACTTCAAAAACCTCTTTGGTGTTCCCTCCCACAGCTCTCCCATCCTGTTGGCCCCTGTGTCCCTCATGGGATCCTTTCCTGCCTGTGAGCATCCTGTAAGTCAGGCAGAGGGCTTTAGGGTTTCAGCTCTCATGAGCTGTCACTCAAGCTGGGCTGGGCTTTTGTGATGTCATCCATGCTCCTGTCAGTGTCCTCTTAGTAATAATCCTATCAGTAACCCCAATGAATCAGTTGGTCCACCCAGCTGGACTTGGGTGGCATTGTTCCTCTGGGCTAGAGTTGGTTCTCTATCTGGGGTGAGTTGACACTTTTCCATGTCTCCCTACTAATAGTGTTACACAACACCAATGCTGGTGACCTACCTCTTCCAGGAAGGGCTCACTTCCCAACATTCCCACAGCCTCCCCAAACAGCACCAATAGCTGGGACCAAGCATTCAAACACAGACCCTGTGGGGAAGATTTTACAATCACTGTATACTCTGTGTCAGGTTCCCAAGGGTTAGCACCATCGCTGTATGCATTGGGTGATCAAGGGTCCTTCTGTTCTGTTCTCTCTCCTTGATACAACTAAAATAATCAAGGCATTATCTTGTACATGTATCAATTTATAATCTTAAGAAAGATTGCAGTTTGATTATTACATGCACTCTGGGCTCCCAAATAATTTATTTTAGAATTTTAAAAGCTATTGACTTTAACCTCACGCAGCAGTGAAAGCTATTTCTTTTAATACGTTTATTAAGAAACACAAATAAGAATTTAGGCCCAGAACTTGGCGTAAGATGGTGTGGTAATGAGCATATAGTTCTTTTACACACTAGCAATTGATTTTCTGAGTCTAAAATGATTACAAATCAAAGAGCTGTAGAAAGGGGTCTCACTCAAGGAAATAAAGAACATCACATACTTCACAGAAGCCCAGCAAGAATTGTGTATATGTGTTAAAAAACTATAACCTGTCTCCCCTGCTTTCTGGGTCCTGGACACCTAGCGTGTACATGGAGCTTGGTATCATGACAGCCACATTCTTTCCCAAGTCCTGGGGTGGCAGAAGAATCCACTGCTTAAACCAACACAGATTTACGCAGGTATCACTAGATGCCTGTGCTCTTGACTCCCCTAAACCGCAGGGTTGCCCCCGGCTGGCCCTGCCTCCCTCTCGGTCCCCACTGGCCTCCTCCGCCTTTCATTTGGCCCAGGAAATAGCTGTTTTAATGCACTTTCATTTCAAAGTGGGACGCTTTCATCTCTGATCAAATGCGGAGTGACATGGATGGGAAGCACATCTCCCCGGCCGGTTGACACCGCTGCAGAAGGGACTTTAGTCATTTATAGCTTTGTCTTTTCAAATGTCACATTGTGTCAGCAGGCTGGTGGAAAGCAGTCGCAGGGTGCTGAATGGAGCTGTTATCCCACTGTGCTGGGCCCGGCTCGGGAGAGCCTGCTGGGTCAAGTCCTCTGGAGGGGGCTAGTCAGAAAGGCTTGCAGGAACCCATGCCTGATCAAGAAGCTGAAGCCCATGATCAAAGTGAGGAGCTGCAGACACCACTTGACATTGTCTAAATCCCCATGGCGCTTATCTATGCTGAGTCCTTTAAGCGGTGTGGAGAGCGTCTGAATACCAGAATCATGGAAGGTATTATTTGACGGAAACTTGTGATGTTTTCAGGCAGAAACAAATGAGGAAACTAAACCGTCAAAGATGAACTCCATGTAGCTCCTGCTGTGTCGTGAGAAGAACGTCTCTTCCATCACAGAGAGATCTGGGCTGCTGGAAGGAAGGACCTGGTTGCTAGAAAAGCTGTCCGCTCACCCTCGGGCATGTGGGAGGAACTGCTGGAGAAGGAAGGTCTGAAACATCACAGTAATGTGGTGTGTGGCCATGCCCTCTGTGTGCCTGTGCCCACTGTGTGCCCCTCGTGTACCCACCACGTGACTACGTGCCGTCACAGCAGGAGGCTGCAGCGAGAGACCTGCTGTGGCCATCCCTGAGCTATGCTTCTAGAAGCTTCCAGGACCCAGCACCTTACTTGTTCCAGTTTGCTTTCCTGTTGCTGTGATCCACGTCATAGCAAAAACCAATTTGGGCAGGAAAAGGTTACAGGCCATAGTCCATCATCTAGGGGAGCCAGGGCAGGAACTGAAGCAGAGGCCAGAAGTGCTGATAACTGGCTTTGCCGTATGGATGGCTCAGCCTGATCTCCTATATGACTCAGGGCGCTGGGTAGCACTGCCCATGGTGGGCTGGGCCCTCCCATGTCAATCATTAATCAAGAAAATGCCTCATGAACATACCCATGAACCAGTGTGGTGGAGGCAATTCCTTAACTGAGGTTCCTTCTTCTCACCGTTACCCCTCTACCTTGTGTCAAGTTGGCAAAAACTAACCAGTGAACGTCTTCACTCCCAGAAGCCAGCTCTCTGTGTCCATTTGGTCTGTACTGATGACCCACCTCAGGGTTTGCCGTCCTGAGTGGCTTCCCTTTCTCTGCCTGGAGCAGTGGCTTCCTCCTTCTGTGATCTGGGGAGCCTGGCCTCCATTCCCTTCGGTTCTCATTCCACTAGAGGAGGAACCCTAAGGGGCTGCTGACCCGGGAGGTCCAGCTGACGGAGGGAGTGCTGATGGCCAGCGCTGGGCTCTATCATCAAATGGGAGACTGGCAGGCCCACACGTGTCTCTGCCCCTCAGCCCACTCCCAGCCCTCTTCTCACCCAGCTACCATCTGGACGTGGAAGTAAGACCCCCGCATAAACACTCATTTCTCCTACAAAGCTCTGAGACAGCTGCTCTTTCAGGATCCTGCCTCAGAAAGCTGGACACTGCTTGTTCCTGCTGAGGATGGCTGCAGGCCCCGACCTCCCGTTCTCAGAGCATTTACTTCAGAACGCTTGTATATGTCAATCTTTTCTCTATCCCTTTGAGATGTGGTTGGCAAGCCAGGAATATCCCAGTTCAGGGCTTGGGAACCACATCTTGAAATGGAATCATCCAGAAAAATGGAGCCATGTCTCATGGGGGTGGGGTGGGGGTGGGAGCCGCAGCAGATGGCTAATCCTAGGACTAGTCTCTCTCAGCATCTCAAATCAGCCTCCCTTCAGCACAACATGGCATCCCAGAAGCCTCTGTCTCTGCCCTCGATGGACTGAGCTACGCCTGTGCTGGAATGTCCCCCTTAACCACTGTATTCTGAATGGCCCAACCAGCCTCCAAATCCAGAGACAAACACTGGTTTCGGCCATTCAGTACTAGGTGACTTGTTACAGAGTGAATTCTAGAACAGTGTACCTGGAAAGTGCTCCCATGACAGAAGCTGAAGACCTGTGTCGTCATCCCGGACTGGAGGAGGCTGGTGAAAACTGGGAAACAGTCAAATGTGGGGTATGGCCAGTCTCCTGGGAACCCACTTCCTATAGCAGCTGCAAAGAGTGGGACCCTACTGATGGACCTCAGGGTCTCACGGTAGACTTCCAGAGGAATTCTACAAGTACCACAGGCAGATTCTGTGAGCCTCAGGCCTCCACCCATAGCGCCGTCTCTGTCACTTTCTATGGAAGGCAATGAGAAGAGTTCAGACTTACAGACAGGAAGTGAGTGACCTCTGATGAGCATCTCTGGCTATGAGGATACATGCCGTCACTTGACCACATCCCGCAATTGTAGTGTGAATTCCAATTGGTCTTAGCAATAAAAACCCAGAGTCAGTTATTGAGGGGGGGGTAAAAGCTAAAAGATCAGAGAAGCAGAGCAGCCAGCCACTAGAGTTCTTACCTCTACGAAATCCTCAGCCTGAAAAGGGCCTGAGCTCTTGCCTCCTCCAGCCTTATAATACTGTCTTCACCTCCCTAGTGCTGGGATTAAAGGCCTGAGCTTCCCCTGGCCGGCTCTGTTTCTCTTTTAGACTAAATCCATCTCATGTAGCCCAGGGTGGCATTGAACTCCTCTTCTTCCTGCTTCCTCCTCCCAAGTGCTGGGATTAAAGGTGTGTGCCACCACTGCCTGGTCTCTATGATTTACTAGTGGCTAGATCTGCACTCTGATTTCCAGGCAAGCTTATTTGTTAGAGGATAAACAAAATATCACCAAGAGCAGTCACAGACCTCAGGCTCTTCTTAGAGTCTTCCCCAAGGACATTCTCAAAACATTACTGAAATCTCGTAGTCACACGGCACCAGGGCACTCTTGGTTCTGGCCTCCTCCTCTTCAGGGTTAAAGTCTTCTTGCCAGTAAAACAACAACCATCAGAATAATGTCAGTAACTGCTGTTGCCTGTGGATGCCATCTTGGAAGGGTTTTGAGTGCAGCGTTCACTGTTGGTCCCCAATACACCCTGCAGTGACAGCCGTGTTCTTCCCCTGGGCACCGAGAGACAATGGAGCTTCCCAGACCCTCAAGGCTGGGGAGGTGGCTCCCGGCATCTGGCTCATCACCAGCTCTCTAGGCTCCAGTTGGGGGTGCCAAGGTCTGAAGACAAGGGGACTGTCTAGTTCCAGGGGAAGGAGAGACCCTGGGCACTGGCTTCCTCCACAGGGATCTCTCAGTATTAGCGGGGCAGCCCTGCTGGGTCCAGTGGGGCAGGAACTCTAGTGGCCTCTTGCAAGGACACTTTCCGGGGAAGTTCTGCTTCCTCTTGTGGGGATTTCAAGGAGCACTGGGGCATGTACTTCCTGAAGACTGTCTGCAGCCACATGGCCGCCTGTCACACACAGGTATAGTGGTTCCTCTCAGCATGGTGAGATATACAAACCTTGGTCATTCCCCAGACCCAAGAGACAAGGTTCTCAAAGTGATAATGATTTTCCAGTTTCATTTTATTCATGGATTTGAGCATATTTTGATAAATTAGGAAAAAACAAGTACTTTTAGATTACAAACTCTACCCATTTTTCATTTCTCTACTGCATTCCTCATCTTTGATTTGAGGATGCTCATTATTATATCTGCATAAAATTAGTCCTTTCTGATACAAACAGTGGGTATTTATTTTGAAGGCATGCCTTGTGTTTGTCCTGGCTCTGTTACCATGTAGTGCTCAGGGGTTTGTTTCCCATACTGGTTTTCAATACTTTCAAGGAGTGCATGGTTTCCTGGTTTGAATGATAGTTAGATGGTCCTTCTCCTTCAGCAGAATTTCCTATTGGAGATTTGATTTTTTTTTGTCTTACTTTTATTCTCTTATCTATGTGAGATTGGCCTTGGTCTGCAGCACAAGCTTAGAATGCATCCACTTTATTGCAGGAAATGGGCCATTTGTCATGTCCAGTAATACACTGATTCTCGATTGTGGTTCGGTGATACCCGCATTGAAAACTAAGTCACCCCAGAATCTAGAATCTGTGCCTCCCTCTGCTGGGCCAATGAACCTGGCAGAGTGCTGGGACTACTCAGGTTGCCAGTTCTCTGGTCGTCAGGCAGAACTGGACAGGCTGCGCTGTTGAGTTTTCCTGGCTATTTGTGTCTTCCATTATTCAAAGTAAAATTTAGAATTTCAGTCTATTTCCAGTACTGAGATTTGGTACTTTTTTTTTTTTTTTTTGGTGCTGTGTCAAGTGTTTGAATTAACTTAAAAGAACTCCAGCTTCTCTGATGTTGAGTTTTCCACAGATCTTTGTGTTTGTTCCTGTTTCTTGATGTCTTATAAAATTTTCCTGACCCAGCTCTCTGGTGTCCCTCAGCATCACCTCCACCTCGCTGCCCCTTTTTGGGGACTTTTCTTGTATCATAGCTCATGGTGCCCTTCATGTGTGGTGCACACAATTGTTTATCTTGGCAGCTGTGAATGGCATTGTGTCATCTGAGATCTACTAAAATAAAGTCAATGTTTTTAATCTAGCTTGAACTTTGAACTCTTGCTGACCCAGTTTCTTTCCCTACATTCTCCTTTTGTAATGGCTTTCCTAAACTTCATGCATGATTTTCAATTTTATTTTGCTTAAATTTTATCTCATATTTCCTCAAGTGTAGCCCTTCTAAACTGACTTAAAATATAGGCATCTTCTTAGAGAAATGTTATCATCCACCAGAGTCTACTCTTTAGACATGAACTAAGTGTAAAAATTCCTGCTTACCAGAAATAGTAGTAACAGTACTACCAACACCTCAGACACTTTCCTCAAGGCCCTCCCTTCCTCCCTTTCTCCCTTCCTTCCTTCCATTTATATGTCTACCACCAATCTATCTTCCATCTATAAATCTATTATCTATCATTTATTATTTTGTCTTTTTTCAATCTATTATCAATGTCATCTATATATCATCTATCAATCTACTATCTGTCATTATCTGTAATCTATCATCTAAATATTATCTACCTTATGTTTCTTTCTTCAATCTGTCTACCATCTATCTGTTGCCTATCAATCTATTATCTATTTATGTATTTATCATTTATTGTCATCTATCTATATATCTATCAATCTACCTACCCACCTGTCAATTATCTCTACCTAGGTCTAAATGTCAGTGTCTTTCTATAATTCCCAGAGGCCAGCCTAACCCCAACGTGGTAGTACTGAGAGGTGTGATGGTTAGGGGGCGCTCAGGACCTCATCATGAAGTCCTTAGGGCTTAATTTGGATGTACAAGGGCCAGCCGCCCCAATGGGAAAACACTGCAGAAGTTGACATTCTATGAAGCAGTAAGTGATTCAGAAGCCCATTGGACATGAGCAGCTCAGCTCTGAGGAACAGTCGCTTTCCCTCGTGGCCCTGGTTCTCTTTCGCAGGTGTGTACACATATAAATTTAAACCCACATTCCACAAGTGAGCTGGCACTTGCGTGCGTCTGGTGAACGCCGTACGGAAACTAACACCGTGCATATTTCAGTTTGCTATTGATGACAAACCTATTTCAATGTCCCTTTGTCTTTAGGTTCAGGGTTCAGTCTGGTAACTGGCTCTCATACAACCCAGGGCACACACAGGGTTGACCAGTCATCTTAGAAAACCAGGAGGGAATCACTTCTTCGAGAAGTTTGGGGTTTCAGTATCAGAAGACAGACTCCCTGAAATCCCATCTCCACTTACACAGTGCTACGTTAGAACTGCATCGTGGGGTGAAGGCTTAGTTAGGTCTGGCTGTATTTGTGCACACAGGAGGATGAGGAGGAACACAAGCGGGAGGAAGGATGGACTAACTCCTCCTCCCGTGGGGTGCAGAGGTTGCCAAACGATAGGAAGAAGAAGCCGAGCCACCAGGCAGGAGTCGCCACAGTGAAGGCCCAGGCCTCGGTATCGCTGGTCACTGCTTCAAAGTGGAAGCAGCTCTCCGTGACGCCGCCACAACGTCTTGATGCACTTCTGGTTTTGTGACCTCCACCAGGAAGCCTTCCTAGATACTCAGGCCAGAATGCTTGTCCTCCTCTGGGCTTGCACACCGCTGCTCTCTGACACGTGCCTGTGGCTTCAGGAGCACACTGTGGCAAAGGGACAAGCAAGGCTCTCCACCCGTCCACTTGCCTCCTTGTCAAGCTCTTTCCATCTGGCCCTCAATCTTCTCCCTCTCTGGCGTTTGGCTGGCCAGGTGACTGCCTGGAGCCAGTGAGGATCAGCACTCCTGAGGCCAGAGAGGCCAGGCAGGTGTTTATGTGCTGCATCTCTCTGTTCGGAAACTCTGTCCAGCCATGAGAGCTTGTCTGAGAAAAGTCAGAGGAAGCAGAGTTGAGCCACAACCCTTTTATCTGAGGTCACCAGAGGCAAGCCACTCCTCTTCAAGCCTCCATTTGTAAGCAAACCCAGCCAGGCCTGTGGAGTTGTCGAGATGACCCACACTGACCAGGCATGAACTCAGTCCTGGTCAGCAGAGACCCATAGAGTTGAGGATCCAATGGCACTTCTGTGTTAGCTGAGATTTCCTGTTTGTCACTCACATTGTTGAGGCAGCAGATAGCTGATACACTGGACTGACGCTTGGCATGCTGGGAACTCATCTAAACCACATGAAAGGATCAAATGCAGGGACAAAGGGTATAACCTCCTGTGAGGTTTTAGAGCCTGTTGTATGCCTGGCTTGCCGTAGCGCCCATGAGGGCCAATCAAAGCTTCCTACACAGTTTGAAATCACACTTTGTAAATTCAATGATTTCTAGTCCTTCTGAAGCACCCAGCCAGCAAATGTGGGTTTTAATTAAGCAAATGCGAACACTGAATGACCCAGGCTGAAAGCTGAAAGAAATCAGGAGGAAGAGAAACCCATGCCTCAATTTTACCCCATGAATTCCAAGTGTCTGGTGATAAATCTTAAAATGATCTAAGGTTTGTTTTTCCATGATGCCAGGAGGAAAAATGTATAGGAAAGGGGTCATATTTTAGAAGAACAATAGTGTGCCTGTTACAAACACATATATATTTCTGTTCGTCATTATGGAGGTATTTGTGGGCTTGCCAAGTGTGCTACACGCCTCAGATTTAAAAAGCCAGAGAAAGATGGTTTTAATAAAGTTTCCTAATGTAATAGAAGACGCATAATAACATCCTGCTTCAAATCTCTGGGAAAAGAAAAGTTCTTTTTGAAATGCTTTTTTTTCCCCTTCAAGAATTATTTTCAACTAACAAGAAGAGGAAGGAGCCGTGAGGCCCCGAGCTGCCCCATAGACTCATGGCTGCCCTTTTCATGTGGTTGGTTGTTGATATTATTAGGGGTTCAGATATGCTGTAATCAGATGAAACAGCCAGAGAGCTGAAGAAGAAGGAGTGAAGGAGGGTCCCCAGGAAAGCCAGCTTTCCATTTCTGTCATGGGTCACATAGGTCGATGACCTCATGTGAAACCGGCACACAGAGATCTGTGTCTTGTGACCCAGCACTGGTACTGGAAGACAGGGGCTGTTCTCACGTGAGCACAGGCAGTCCTTCAAGTCAAGGCAGTTACATAACTGCAAAGCAGAGACACACGATCTCTGCAGTCACCGAGGAACCTCTGGCAACCGGTCAGCCGTGACCTCAGTCGCACGCACGTCAGAGCAGCCACATTGGGCTGTGGGTCACGGGGACGTCTGTACCTGCTCTGTGCCTCGTGATTTAGTCTCAGGAGTAAAAGCACTGGGTTTTTATTATTTTATTATTTCTTTGCTCTGTGGATTTTGCTGGAGGCATGCACACTGGGCGAGCTGGCAAACAGGACCTGCTCGGGGACCCAGGAAAACCCTGCTTCAGCCATTGGCTTGTTCCTAGAAAGGAAGGGGTTTGAATGGCACCCTTTAGTGTCAGGCAATGCCCTGGAGGAGGTAGTGACCTCAGTGCTGTTTGTGAGGGACAGAGACACCCAGGGGAGGCACTGTCCTTAGCAAACAGGCAGAGGTGGCTATTCCTGATCGTAATCGGGCACTTGTTGTCTGTGGAATTGTGACAAACTAGGACAGGTCCCAGAGGGACCGCTCAATGATAGCCTCATCCTCCAGCCTCATCTTGTCATCCTCCAGCTCCGGGTCTTCCCCCAGAACTCTGTCCTGGCTCTCAGAGCCCTCTCTCAACTGTCAGGTGTACCCCAGTTTCTTTGGTTTGCCACCCCCCTAAGCTTAAAGGGGTGGTACCAAAATCCCGCAGTCTCTGAGCACATGCTTAACTGCTTTGGCAGCTGTTCTTGGTGTCTGTTATTCTTTCCACACTAGAGAGGAGGAAGCCAAGGTGGAGAGGCTGTCCCTGATGCAGCCTGCTTAGCAAAGACATGCACACCCCAGGTCTGCCGGGGTTCAGAGCCTGGGTGATGCTGAGCTGTCTCTGTGTGTGTGTGCCAGGGTCTTGTTAGTCATCATTCCTGGGTGGCGGGGTGGACACTGCTGTGATGTGGTGATCATTCACGATCAGCATCACAGCAGCAGCAGCAGTGACTAAAGCAGATGACCCTCCATCACACAGAGGAGTTCATCTGATGGCCAGAAGGTTTGGTCTTAACAGTTTGAGGCTTCCAGAGGGGCAAGGATGGCTCTTAATCACCTCTGATGTTCCCTAGCACGTCCTGTTGGTTCACTAAAATGCTACCGAAGTGTGACAGTAAACCGCAGCTTGCACTTCCATAGCCCCTGCTCTAACTTCTGGCTTCCTGAAAGCTGCCTCAGGACAGTCCCAACCCCTTTACTCGGGATGTCGTGCTTTGTCATTCTTTCCTGTTTCAAGAGCCCAGCATTCACTGTCTAAGTCTCTGTTTCTGGCCAGCGTGGGCCACCAGGTGCATTATCTCTTCTCCCATGGCTCATACAGAATGCCCTTCCACTGCCCACTCCTATCTCCTTAGTAAAGCTTTAATGAAGGGATTAACTGTGCGAGGCTTGGACACCTTCTTTCTTACCCTCGGACATCATGGCCTGAGGAAGACAGTGTATCAGCTGAACTTCACCCCTCCCTTGGCATGGGGCTAACCGTTGCCTCCCTTGGTCAGTGAGATCTGGACTCTGAAACAGCAGCACAAGAAAGAAAGGATTTTTGTTAGGTGCTTCCTGACATCATCACGAGAAGATGCCCAGGCAAAGATGCTGGCCTCGGATACAGAGGAGGGGTGTGGAGCAGAGCCATGGACCCTCACCTCGTATGGCCACAGCCAGCTTAGCCCTGGACCACGAGTGAGTCCATCAAGGTCAGATGAGCCCCCTCTTCTAAATCTGAAGGCAGCTATCAAGAGCGGATGCTTATGGTTTTGAGGCACTGGGTTTCTGGGTGTTTCCCACACTGCCCTATTGTATCAAAGGCAACTGATATCTATCTGTCATCTATCTATCTACCTATCTATCTATCTGTCTGTCTGTCTGTCTGTCTGTCTGTCTATCTATCTGTCATCTATCTATCTATCTATCTATCTATCTGTCTGTCTATCTATCTGTCATCTATCTATCTATCTATCTATCTATCTATCTATCTATCTATCTCCACATTTTAAATTAATACCCAGTTAACCCTGAAGTCAGTGCAATATTTGGGCTTGAGAATATTTAAAAGATGGTGAATATTAGAGAATTGGCTTTTTGACCCAAGCATTTTTTTCTCCTATTATGTCAAGGATGAAGCTTGTTTTCCATTTCATTGTTATTGTTTTAATGCCTTTTTATGGGCATCTTCTTAGATGACTTGGGTTTCCTTTTAATCTCTTAATATGGTATATTAAAATACCCTTGTGTTCCTTGAATAATTTTACTTGAACATGAACTATTGTCATTCTAATACAGACATGGTCTGAAATCACTAGCATTTTATTTGGAATTTTAATAGGCCTATTCATAGCCTGTCACTTTCTTTTTTTGTGGCATCTCTGTCAGGTTTGGGGCTCAGAACTGTGCTGGCTTTGTGTGAGCACTGGGGAGGCTTCCTGTAACCTCCTCCTCTCCAGCGCAGCTGGGCAGTATGCTCTCAGGTCCAGAGCTGAAAAGAACAAAAGCCCCCAGACTCCAGACCTGGCCTCTCTGGGGAATAATACCCTACAACCCTTCATATTTCCCTTGAGACTGTTTATGTTAGACCACAGACTTATTCTTCAGTAGGATTTTTTGGGGAAAAAAAATTTCCATTCTCTACCCTTCTACCCTTGAGAGCAAACCTATCCATTTCTGTAAGTTTTTCCAAGGTATAATCAGAGAGTCAGCCATGCGCATTATGGGGGTGCTTACCATATTATTAATCTTCTACCCACTATGTTCTCATTCCCTATTTTGTATAATGTGTTTTCTTATTTTTCTGGAAGTGACTGCCAGATGTTTGGCGTTCTGATTCATTTTCTTTTTAACTCAAAGAACGAGCTCTTAGATGTGTTATCAAATCTGGCTTTATTCTATTTCTGCCCTTGATTTTCCTTTTAAAAATCCCTTCCTTCCTCTGCGTTGTTTCCCTCTATTAACTTCCGAGAGTGAATTCTTCATTTGTTTCTGTCCCCCTCCCCGTCTGATAATCAGTGCTTTATGGATAGACTCTGCCTTTGAACAAAGGCTAATTTTATTTCACTGTGGTCAGCATGCTTGGTCTCTGTTGTTTCTGCCTTTGAAACTCAGCGTGGGTTTTTGAATCTGGTCTGAGGCAGCCTGGACTGCGGTATATGTCCTGTAGATGCCCATAAAGAATGCACAGTTGTCTGCAGAGTACATGTTAGAATGGCACTGTTTTCATTTACAGTGCTCTCGCTCAGGTAGGCTGACAGCTGATCTTCTGATTCTGTTCAAGGCTGGGGGATAGTTCTTCATTTTCTAATGGCAGATTATTTGCTTTCTTGAATAAAAGGGCATTGATAAAGAGTGTCTCTAAAAGAATGCCTTCAGAACTCTCCTCCCATCCTTTCTCCATCTTGTGAGTCCCCTCACCAAAGTGAAGATGAAATCAGATGAACAAATCTCACTATTGGTTTCTGTCTGCCCTTCCAGAAGCTTCTGTGGCTAGTCAGGTAGATGCCACTGCAAATCCTCATTTCACACCTTGATTCTTGACATCTGTGATGACAATGTCTCCAGATTTAATCTTTTAAAAGTTGTGACATCTTCCTAGTTAGCAAAATAATTCCATCCTGATTCAAAGGAAGGTTAATGTCCTTTGACCTGGAGTTCAGAGAGCACGCCCACACTGTCCCCCAGTGTGGTTTGTTGGAGATGTATCTTTACCTGGTGCCCATGAGTTATCTTGTCTCGTCTAAAGTCTAAAGCATTTGTTTTTCTTACTTTTAAAATAGTTCATGGTCTTCAGAGGAATGGAGAGTATAGTCAGCTATTAGTTTAGTCAGCAACACAGGCCAGGAAGGCACAGGCAGATGTGGACAGGGCGTCACCGCCAGAGACGGTGGGTGCTCTGCACAGTGTGTTCCTAAGAGTAGCATTTCAAGTCAGTCATAATCTCTGTGCTGATTTGCATGAGAAATGTCCCTCATGGCCTCACGTCTTTGAGCACCTGGTCTCCAGTTGGTGGTGCTGTTTGAGAAGGTTGTGGAGCCTCCTGGAGGAAGTCCATCAGGGGAGGTGGGTTTGGGGGGGGCGGTCTATCATCTTGCTTCTAGTTCACTCTGTGTTGTGTTTGTGGTTGAAGATGTGATCTCTCAGCCTTTTGTTCTGGCTGCTAGCTGCCATGTCACCCCTGGCCGTTATGGCCTCTCTTTCTGAAATAGTAAACCAAAATACATTCTTTTTTCCTTAAGTTGCTTATGGCTGCGGTGCTTTATCAGAGAGCAACAAAAGGTAAATACACTCATTCATTCTTGATGCCCTACCGTGCCCGGGTTTGGCACAGAGAGCACCCTTTACCATGGTTCAGCAAGCTCCATACCTCGCCAGCAGTTGCTTGCTGTCCTGTTCTCTGGGTTAGAAGCTGATGGAGAATCACCTGACTGAAGGCTGGTATTGGGAGGCGGCCCTGTGGATCCTGGCCCTGAATCATTCAGGAATACACATAGAGATCAATGTATTGGGGAGCTCATGACTGCCTGAGCGTCAGCGCTTCTGGGTGCTTGGGATAGTTTGAACATAAAATGTCCCTACAGGTTCATGAGCGTGAATACTGTTCCCAGCTGGTGGAGCTGTTGGGACCAGCTGAAGCAGGTCACTGGAGAGGGACCTTGAAGGTGATATCTGCTCTTGGCGCTAGCCTAAACTCTGCTACCTGTTCCACCAAGGTGTGAGGGGCTACAGCCTCACGTGCCCCAGTGGCCCTGCCTCCCCCACCACGGTGGACCCTCTGAAGTCAGACGCTTTCCAGTGGCTTCTGTCGGGTGTTTTCTCACAGTGGCAGGGGAATGGACTAAGGCACGCTTCCAGGAATTGTGTAATGAGTTTACCTTGCTATTTTCCATCAAATTTTAATGTAATAATGTTTACACATGCATATTCCGGCTTCATAAATGTGTCTCTTTTCACTCAAAATAGCAGTTTTGACCACTCACATCATTTGCATGATTACAAATTTATTGTGCTACATGAAGAAACTTTTTCCAAATACATAAATGTATTCTAAGTGCTAATCCAGCTGATGCAGGGGTAGGGAGCAGGTTGTTTCCTTTTGGCCTCCTTTGACCTTAGAGCAGAGTACTACATGCTAAGTAGACTTGAAAGAGACCTCCACGTGAATATTCGGTAGGTTCCAAAGGAAGTTCTGCTTACTCATCATCATAGGGATTGATTTTTACATTTAAATTGTATTTTGTAAACGCTACTGAATTTCTTTTTACTTTCTTTATTTTTAATTCGTGTGCAAGTGTTTGTGTGAGCGTGCGTCGTACCAGGGTAGGCATCCATGGAGGCCAGAAGAGGCTATGAATCCCCCGGAGCTGGAGTTCTAGGTGGTTGTGAGCTGCCCACTGTGCGTGCTGGGAACCAAACTCTGGTTCTCTGCAGGAACAGGAAGTGCTTTTAGCCTCTGAGCCATCGCTCCAGCGCCCCGCCCCCATACTGGATTCTTAGAAATGACGTGAGACAACAGAGGAATCCCGCTCTGTCAGCCTTGTATGAGACTCACTCTGTGAAAATGGCCGCATTCCCTGTTTATTTTCCTGTCTCTCGTTGCGAGAGTCCTACCTCACTATTGCTGCAGGCGAGTCCTCTGACGTCACCTGAGAACACGGTTGCCCAGCCCTCCATGCCACAACTCTGTCCACAGGCCCATCAGACATTTTGTTTAGGTTTGATGACCGTTTATTTAATGCCTACTGTAGATCTTGTAGCATTGACTTCACGGTCAACAGGACTGTAACACACCGTTGTGCTGTCACGGTGGATCAAGCGCGTCCTCAGCTCTGTGCTTGGGGTGATTTTAAACCAAATCGATAATAAAAAGCACAGGAAGTATTCTCACGAGGACAGCAGAGGGCAGAGCATGATCTGTGGTACCCCAGCTAGATCGGAAAGTTTCTGCTCAACACGCTCTCCCCGTGCACGTCCACAAATGTTGTAAGCACTGACCTTGGTATCCGAAGTAAATTTCAGTAAAAAGATAATTCACAACTATGAAATCTATAAACAGCGACTGTGTCCCAACTGAGTCTATCCACTGTAATTCTAATGTGAAATGTCCCCCACAGGCTCACGGTTTGAACACTTGGTGTCCAGATGGGTGGTGCTGTTTCAGGAAGGTGTGAAGGGGGTGGGTCACTGGGCACAAGCCTGGGGTTTTATAACTTGTTCCTGCTTCTTGGTCTCCTAAGATGGGAGGCATCTCGGCCACGTGTTCCCACCATCACGAACTTCACCTGCCCTGGTAGATCACATACTCTTATTCATTCTGCAGTAGTCTGTTTGCCATGGGCACATCTGCTATGCCCACTTCTTACTGGTCAATTGAGCTTCCTTGTTTGGGAGTTTTTCTGATATTAGAATTAGCCATTTTGGCTTTTGGGAACCTGTTCTCCATACTGGGTTGCCGCACCCAGCCTTAATACAAAGGGAGGAGCTTAGTCCTACCTCAACTTGATATGCCATGCCTTGTTGACACCCAT